TCAGTTATTAATCTACACCTTTCGCTTGCTGCGTTCTCTCTAACCGCCAGTTGAATGTGTCCGCGGGTGCAAGTAGAGGTCTATGGGGCTACCATTGACTGGGACTTAGAGCCCCCTGAACTCATAGAGGGGGATCTGGTCGAGCTCACAATCCCCGGACGCAGCATTCGACACGCTGACGGCCAGTTTGCGTGGAGGTCCATAATCCTGTCCGAGGACGTGTGACTTTGGACGTACAGAGAGCACCGGCAGGGGCAAGGAGTGAGTGTAGTGAGAGCCTACTTGTATTTGGGACCGGGTACGGTCAGGGAGGCCGTGGTGGGCCTGGCGACGACAGGGACTAGTGACGCAGTTAGCAGGCCATTACGCTACCTAGGGGAAGAGGTAGCTGCTTTCCGAGCGGAGGACGCGATCGACCCGTTGACCCTATTTCACGGACGCCCTCCTCTGATATCACGGGCGAGCTGGTGGTAGCACGGGACGGGGTTTTCCCGTACAGCGTTAGGAGCCTGCGGGCGATAGTTCCGATATTCGTAGTAGAGAGCGTCTTTGGAGGTATTGGTGGAGTGGTCGAGACATACCTGGCCTATTAGGATCTCAAAATCCTGGCGAGAAGGCCTGCCGACCTAGACTACATCTATTATTCGCTTGCGATCGGTGGGCCTCGTTGGGGAGACGAGAGGGTTCAGCTTATAGAGCTGATCCGCTCGATAGACGACGAGTGGCCCCAGCCTTTGTGCGTTTGGGATTGGCTAGACCGAGAGCTCCGAGCAGGCCTCGAGTACGTGACTTGCATCGAGCGGCTCTTCTCAGACGACTGGGGGAGCTGGTGGAGTGAGGATGTCGGGCGACCTCTGATATATGACCATCAGTTGACGGAATACTACCGGGCCATAGGACAGGCGTCATACCGCGTCGAGGACGAGTTTGACGATGAGGGTTGGGAGCGAGAAGACGACGAGGAGCTGTGGGAACCAGACTGGGTCGACCCAGAGAGCGAGGTTGACGAGGAGGAGATTGATGTTATAGACGCCCATTTTCCCAGGATAGGAGTAGCGGTCCGGGCGTAGGAGGTAGAGGAGCACACCAGGGCGACGGATGAGTGAGCCTGGTTACTGAACCTATTCGACCATACTGGACCTGAGTGCGAGAGTTGTAACCAGAGTTAACAATGTCGAGAGATGGGGTGTATTAGAGGAAGTAGAGTGATGCTGACCAAGAGTAGGAGAAGAAATGAGGAGTGATTCAGCGGCCTGGTTAGCTTATGTTTTCTCACGAGAGTCCGAATCGTATAGTGTGAGGAAGATTGTGAAACCCAGAAAGATGACGGTTGGATACGACATACCACTTCTTGTGGCGTTAGAAGAGGCAGGGCGTGTACCGATACGATACTTGGGATCGTGGCTCGCTGAGGGGCTCTTCCTATGGACAGTGATACTACGAGACGAACGACCCGAGAGGACTCATGATCTAGAAGGGGTCNTGGCTCGCTGAGGGGCTCTTCCTATGGACAGTGATACTACGAGACGAACGACCCGAGAGGACTCATGATCTAGAAGGGGTCGGGCATCTAATAGCGGATAGAACACACAATTTAGAGATAGGGCTAACGCTCGCGGGGGTGAGCAGGAGTTGGTGAAGAAGCGAGTTGTTGGCCAGAGTGATCGTTAATCAGCAATTGGCGAGACTCTCTGGAGGGAGGACGAGTAGGAGCTGCTTGGTATACGGTCCACCACATCCGACCCTCTACCCGAGAACGGATTGGCGATTCGGAGTTCCTACCTTCGTGATATGGCAGACCTATGGGAGCGTGGATCGTTTAAGGAGAGCAGTCGATCACACGCTTTACGCCGTCTGGGAGGGCCTAGCGCCCCGCTTCAAGGAAGTATACTACGCCATTTGTGTGAGGTGGGGGCCGCCCAGTAGAGAGACGCTTGAAGACATCATAGATGTTACAAGCTAGGTGGACTGTCTGAGGCCTATCGATCTGATTAGGTACTGCAGGAGACGGGCAGAGATCGATTACGCGGGGCTAGAAGACGCGAGATTTCTCTTCGAGGTTGCAGCTTAGGGAATGCCGGGGAGGACGGCCACGGTGATGCGTGTAGAAGAGCAACTCGTAAGCACAGGATACACTGTGACAGTACTTCTCCGAGCGTACGTAGACGAGGACTTGACGGCGAGTGAGTGCATACAACGAGCTAGGGATTTGATCCACGAGCATAGAGCTGATGTACTGGCGCAAGTGACCTTCGAGACCTCGATTTCCTATGATATGATGATATGGTCTCATGGTTATATGCGCGCGGAGCACTACCACGATGAGACGGTAGCGGAGGCTAGAGCGAGGGTGAGAGGGTGAGATGGAGAAAGATGTGGACTGAGTATGGAAGAGGAGAGTGAGGCAGTCGGAAGAGTGTGAAAGCGCGTTAAGGAACCACTCTTGAACCAGGTAAAGAAGTTGGGGGACAAGTTAAGGGAGATCTGGTCGTGTCAGGACGAGGGCAAGTTGCGAAGAGCTGAACTCGTGACGAGAGAGTTAGAGAGTCTGTTTAGGGAGGAGAGAGAGAATATCCAGGCGTGGAGATCAGACTTTTTGGAGAAGGTAAAGGCTAGAAGCGTATCACGCGAAGAAACTAGTAAGCGATCTGCAGAGAGCGAGACAACTGGAGACAAAGTAACGCAGGGGAGTAGCGACAGGACATGAGCGGGACTGCACTACACACGACGGATCGGTACGCATTACATGTGGTAGGGAGACTGGACGGACCATTAGTGTTAGTGATCATAGAACTCCAGCTCCATACCAGACTGTGCATAGTTGAGGAGGCAAAGTGTTTCCGTCGTGCCCTGCGTGAAGCGAGGGGGACAAGACTTTGGATTGGAATAGATAGAGGACGAAGGATAAAATACGTACTCCGAGTAACACCCTTCGAAGGGCGGCCTCGGATAAGAGCATGGTACGAGACGACCAGAGAGGCTGAAAGGTTGAAGATAAGCGAAGCCAGGAAAGCTGGAGAGTTAGCGAGAGTTGTAACATATGGTGCAATACTCAGGGTGTTAGCCGCTCACAACCGGTACTGGAAGGAAACGATAAAGACTTTAGAGACAATAGACGATGGAGGAGATAATGAGGACTTTGAAACATTTTATGACATATTGGGGCGGTCGGCGATGAAGTTACAAGTGGTTATAGCACTAACTTACCTCAGCTGTTAGACAGATGACCTCGTAGCCGTTCAGGAGATAAGGTAGTGAAAATAGAAATTGGAAGTTCTTGGAAGGATAAAAGAAACTAGAAAGGTTGATGGGCGACATTGGACGGCAGTAGGAGCCCCTTTAGCGGGCTAGCCAATTCAGACAGGGCTAGGAGAACTAGCAAGGAGGACGGAGAGAGACGCTCAGAGACTCTTGAGGGGTGTCACGAGTGAACTGCAGATCCGGAGAGGCACGGCCTTGTTGGCCGATCCTGAAGGAGAGGTTTACTTAGACACAGGGATTCTTGGGATAGAGGGAGAACACGAGATCTGCGGCCGGTACGGGTTAGTGGAGGTGGTAATCAAGGCAATCGAGAGCTAAGTTTGGAGGCGGACGCGAGCCGTGACAAGGAAACAGGTCCGGGCTGCCGCAACTGTCACAGGTCCGGGCCGCAGCGACTGTCATAGGGACGGGTTGTAACAGTTGGCAAGAAAACCTAACTGCGTCTTCAGGCGGTCCAATGGAACCCGACACGATGGAGCCACAACCGGCCATGGGCGAAGCGGGAGAGGAGTATAGGACATCGACCGATCGAGCTCTGAGAGAACTTAAGGAACGAATTAGGCAAGGAGCACCGCTGAGATGGGCTGACCAGACCAATGACAGAGAGCCCGACATGAGAGGCGAACCAGTTGCGACAGAGCCGCAGGAGGCTCTAAGGACGGGTACCTCGAGCGGACGACGAGAAACGACGAGACGACGCTCCCCCGAGTACGAGCGGAGGGACACCATAGCGGACGGGTACAGAGACGACTGGAGAGAGAATTTGAGGGATTCGTATTGGAGGGACAGAGATAGAGACAGGGCGTCGCCCAGGCGAGTCTTCGACCCCCAGACAGGGGAGTCACATCCGCTCCCTTACGAGAGCAAGGACCGCTATATTATTACGCACAAGGTCTCAGAGCCTCCTACCTTCAGGGGTTATGGTATCACAGAATATCTGGAGAAGTGGGAGTTTCACGCCAGCCGGAGTCAGTGGTCGGAGGAAGAGATTATAGAGAACTTCCTATTTAATGTGGACCCAAGTCTCGGTAGGGAAGTTAAGAAAGCTTGACCGAAGGATGGGAAATGGACTACGTACAAGAAGAATCTCGTTGAACTTTACAAACAGGAGGACAACAAGTATTCCATTAAGGACCTTGAAACAATGACTCAAGATGAAGATGAGAGCGTACGGGCATTTGGGATGCGTTTCCAGAAAATCTCCGACGTGCTGATGAAGAAGGGGAAGATCTCAGAGGTCGAGCGCTGTACTATCTTTATCGGACACTTGTCCAAAGGTAGGCAAAAAAGTAAACTTAGAGATCTTCCGCGCGACAGGCTTGATTTCCCTGAAATTCTAATGCTCGCGATAAAGGCGGAGGCAGACGATTACAAGGACTTGGTGTGGAGAGGGATGAGGAGACGTGACTTCTCTCTCTACAAGGAGTATGCCACTGATAGATGTCCTGATTTCAAGGACTATCCCTGGTCGGAGAAGAATGAGGCCGTGGCAGAGGAAGTGAAGGAGATACGGGACATGGTGAAGGGATTGACGAGACAGATTACGGAGATTGTAACCACTACAGGAGCCATGGCCTAGCGGGACAAACCTGGAGGGCCTTATTCACTTCGCTGGGACCGTAGGAACAACGATCCCTGGAGGAGTGTCGAGGATAGAAATCCTCGGACGCTGACTGATTATCGTACGAGGGAAAGAGAGAGAGACGATGAATCATGGCGACATAGGGACGATGAGATAGACCGAGACCGCAAAGATCGCGAGCTGTTTGTGCGAGCAAGAAGGCTAAATGATTACCCCCGAAGCCCTCGCTATGAGGCCGATCGGGGTAGAGGCGACTCCTGCGGCCGATGGGAGACAGAACATGGCCGACGAGATGGATATAGGGACGACAGATACGAGAGGTCGGGTCAAAATGGCTACAGAGGGAGTAGATTTGAGAGAGGAGATTGGGACTGGGAACGACAAGATGGGTCGCCCGGACTGTTTGAGCGCGGGGTAGATGCGAGAGAACAGCGCGACGAGTCGCGGGGATGGTACAACCGAGGGGACCGGCGCGATGAGACACGAGGACGATATGACTCGGGGGACCGCCGGAATGATTCGGGAAGGCGGTATGAGCAAGGAGGGTCTGGAGGAGACCGGCGCAACGATTCGCGCGATCGGAATGAGAGAGGGGGATATGGCGTCTCATCAGAACCATATCCCAAGTCGCCTGACCCCAAGGCGGTCAGGAACTCGATCTCTAGAGGCGCAGATGACAGGGCATCTACTCCCAGGAACTCATGCGTCTACTGTAGAGGAGAAGATCATATCAAGAGGGATTGCCCAGACCTTAAACGGGCAATAGATGACGGACTTGACGTGCTTGACGACCGCAAGTACGTCAAGTGGGCAGATGATCTGGGAGATGTATCGATGTTCCCTTCGATGAAGGAGAATGCCGAAGCAAGGAGAATAAAGACGAGTAAAGGAATGAGCCGGTCAGGAGCCAGAGCATCAAGATAATCTTTGAGGGGGATATCGCAACCACACCCATAAGGGTGGCAGCCACCAAGTCGGCAAGAGGGTCTACATCGAAGAAGACWGACACGGATTAYGTRATGACGGAGAAGGACGGGCARCGGGTCGATGGAGAGGAGGTTATCCTTTCRCCGCGAAAGAGGGGAGTGAAGAAGTTCTTAATGAAGAGTTCGTTGGACGAGATTGACACGGTTGAGCCACTGAGGCGGGCCCTTCGGCAACCAATGCAGTGCTCTATTCTGGAGTACCTGGCGGCATCGAAGCTGGTTCGTGATGAATTACAGATGATCACGCGGAAGACTCGCATACCTCTATCAGAGGAGGGTCAGGGGGGCCCTAAAGCGGAAGCTTCTACAGTAGCAGTAACGGGGGTGACTGCTAGAGCGGAACGAATGGCGACAGTCCTTCTCGATGGGATGGAAGGTGTGCCTCCAGACAAGTTTTATATACTTGGTAGCGGGGCCGTAGAGACGATTGTAAACGATGGAGCGATACTTGATGCTGTGATTGATAACGGCAGTGAGGCTGTCATCATAGACGAGGACGTGGCAGTACAAGTTTGACTGAGCCTCGATAGGTCATACCTATTCGAGATAGAGACGGCTGACAGGAGAAAACAACAGATCACTGGGGTTTGTCACAAGGCAGCCTCAGAGGTCCAAGGGGTAAGAGTGACCCTGCCTGTCTTTGCAGTCAAGAACTGCAGCTCCAACCTGCTCTTGGGTCGAACGTGGCTGAGCCACGTGCATGCGGTGACAATAGAGCGACCTGATGGGAGCCAAACATTGTCCATTAGGAAACCAGACGGGACGCGGGAAATGATTGAGACAGTGGAGCCTCGGGATCCAAGGAACAGAGCAGCTCTCGCTGTGGGTGGGAGACCCAGTGATCAGAATAAGTCGTTACCTATCTCCGACCGCGCGGTGCGATTTCGCGAGAAGAAATATGGACCACTGCTCACAGAGGAAGAAGGTCGGATCGTGGAGGTGAAAGATTTAGAGAGTCGGCTAATAGTGGACGGCAACTCGTACCCAAAGGAAAAAGATGAGGAATTTGGCAGTGTGGTGTCTGTGTCTTTTTTAAGGGCACGGCCCCCTATGGGGGGCTACCCAAGCGACACAAGCGAGTAGCTCAAAAAGTTAAGCCAGCGGCGGTGGGCCGCGAGCGATCTACACTAGAAGGGGTATCGGAAGAAGAGATCGCAAAAGAAATCAAAGAAAGAAAGAAAAAGGAGCCACAACGCCTAACGGAAGAGAGAATAGCAGGGATGGACATCGGAGATGGTAATCTGACCCCACAGGAGCGAGGACGTGTGATAGAAATTCTGACGACATGTGATAAGGCAATAGCTTTCAGCGACGCGGAGCGCGGTAGGATTGACCCTCGATACGCTAAGCCAACAAGGATTTACACGATACCACATGTTCCCTGGAACRACGCGGGATGGAARTACGCCCARAAGGAGAAGGAAGARGTTATYGCTTTCCTGAAAGAAAAGATGGTTTCCCACGTTGCGGAGCCGTCTGATAGCGCTTATGCAAATCGATGGTTCTTCCTACGAAAGCCGAATGGCAAGATCCGATGGATCCAGGACCTTCAGAAGGTCAACGTGGTGACGATACGAGACGTGGGCTCCGTGCCACAGGCCGATTTACTGGCAGAAGGAGCAGCAGGTAGGTCGATCTATTTTGTCAGTGACTTGTTCTCAGGCTATGATGAGGTACCGCTTGACCCTAGGGACAGACACCTCACGGCTATGCATACGCCATTGGGACTAATCCAAATGATGGTTGTCCCTATGGGTTGGACTAATGGGGTAGCCGTTTTTCAGAGAGCCATGGTAGCCGTTCTCAAGGACTTCATCCCTGATAAGGTTGAAGTTTTTTTGGATGACTTTCCTATAAAAGGGTCAGTAGACAGGGATAAGACAGAGGATGTACCTGGAGTTAGAAGATTCGTCGAGCAGTGCCTAACAGATATTTGCGCGGTACTCGAGCAGCTGGACGATGCGAATTTAACAGTCAGCGGAACCAAGAGCCGATGGACCGTCTCGACTATTAAGATCTTGGGTTTTATCTGTGACTCGAGAGGACGCCAAGCAGATCCGGCGAAGTTAGACAAACTTTTGAACTGACCCTCACCGTTACATAGCCCAACCGAGGTCCGGCAGTTTCTAGGAGTGGTCGGTTACTGGCGTATATTCATACGGGGGTATGCGGAGAAGGCCGAGCCATTGAGGTTACTCCTTCGAAAGACTGAAAAGTTCTACTGGGACTCTTCGCAGGAACTCGCTATGCAAGAACTTAAAGACGAATTTAAGGAGGGAGGATGCGTGTTGGGCGTGCCATTCTTTGACGATGAGATCGAGAGACCCTTCATAGTATCCACGGACGCTGGACCATGTTCAGTGGGTGGTTTGCTGTCTCCGAAGGACGCTGGAGGGAAGGAAAGACTGTTAAGATTTGAGAGTAGGACACTTAATATGGATGAGCGTAACTACAGTCAATTCAAGAAGGAAGTGTTAGATGTTCTCCGGTGTCTAGACACGTTCAGACTCTATATCTATAGGCGACGGTTCATCTTGAGAGTAGACCCCACCGCGGTTGCCTCTGTCCTCTGGAAGGACTTTCGTGTGACGGACCCAACCATCGTCCGATAATTAATACGGATTCGGCTATACGATTACACCGTTGAGAGAGTATCTGGTACTCAAAATGCCGTGGCAGATAGACTTTCACGCATCCCTCTCGAGCGTCCGATAGTAGCTGGGGCTCTGATAATGGCAGAGTCGAGGCGCGCTGAGAGGTTTCTAAGTAATCTATACGAGGGCAAGTACCGAATAATCGGACTACACCTGACGGGAGAGAAGAGTCAAGATTCAGAAATCCGGAGGCAAGCAGCCCAGTACTGCCTTAGAGCGCGCCACCTTTTCCGAAGGCCAGTAGGGTCGGGAATGCCCTTACGAGTAGTCTGTGATCCTGAGGGGTAGTCGGAGGACACAGGGGAGTTAAAGGAACCTACGAAAAGATACGCCGGCTGTACTGGTGGGAAGGGCAGTATAAGGACGTCGAGAGGTACTGTATGACATGCGAAGAGTGTCAGAAGAGAGCTCTTGTGAAATACAAAAACCACTTCATCCATCCTATCCGACCAGACCAGGAGAGAAGGTACACATTAATCTAGTGAAAATGCCGAGAGGGGTAGGCAATATGAACTATGTCGTGAACATACGAGACGATTTCACTGGGTTCGTGGACGGTAGACCTATCAGGAGTAAGGCTGCGAAGGAAGTAAAGAACTTTGTCCTAGAGTACTTATCTAGGTATGGTTGTGTCAGCAAGATAGTGATGGACAGAGGGGCGGAATTCCTAGCCGACGAGGTCCAGAGCGTGTTTAGGAGAGCCGGTGCGAGAGTTTCAATAGCCACCGCCTATCACTCACAGTCGAACTCCCCAGTGGACAGAAGACACCAGACTCTGATAGCGTCACTGTCCAAGTAGTGCAAGGGTAAGGATAGTGATTGGCCACAATATTTTCGATACGCAATATGGGCGTACAACGTCACGGTCCGGGCTAGTACCGGATACCCACCGTACACCTTGTGGCTTGGACGACATTGTCCGCTTCCCATAGAATTTCACGCCGACAGTTGGACAACCATCGACTGGGCAAACGAGATGTCCAAAGAGGAACTCTTAGCTGCCCGAACGAGACAGATAGCCTACGGTTTGGAAGAAGACCTCATGACAGCGGTAGATCGTCTGGTAGTGGAAAGGGACAAGGGTAAAGAGAGATGGGATAAGAACGTGCGAATCAGGAAAGAGAGGGTGAGCGTGAGAGATATGGTCCTTCTCTACGATGCAGCGCTGGAAAGGACCTGGACCGGAAAGCTTGCCAATAGATGGATGGGACCTTACAGAGTGGTTGAGGCACTTGACTGGGGTGCATATATGATAGCAGAACTAGACGGATCTAAGTGGAAGGACCCAGTGGCGGGGGCTAGGTTAAAGCTGTTTAGGCCTAGACCCACGCCCGCTTTATGGCTAGCCAGCCCGAAAGGGAAAGGAAAAACCATGATGGAGGATGGAGCGCCCTTGAGGCAATTCGAGGCAGGAGAGACTTCCAAGAAAAGGAAAAGAATAGAGAAGAAAAAGGTCAAAGGGGTAGCTTTAGGAAGAAAGAAGAGATGGTTATTCGTGCTCAAGCGAGCTAGACGGAGAGTTCTCGTTAGACGTACTGACGGGTCGACGCCCTTCTCGGGGCAAAAACAGAAGAAAAAGAGGATCGTGCCGGGACAAAAAAACAGAAGGAGCAAGAGAGAGTTAAGAAGCATCTTCTTAGCTCCATGACTCATAACAAACTGAAACATAAGACAATTGAACGCCGACGTGGACATCCTTTACGGGCTATCACCCTAAAGCTCGTCCGCTTCGTCTGACATAAGTTGCTAGGGGCTCGACGGGGGCGTCGAGAAGTGGTCCGGGCTAACTGTCAGGCGGCCACAAGCAGTGCGCCGCCTGAGATCCGCAGTACTGAAACTTAGCCTCAGGGACAAATCCGTGTTTTGATGGTAGTCTCGTATAACCAGGCAGCAAAATTAGGGAAACTCAAGGCACCCCTGATTTTGGGCGCACTAAGCCTTATGAGTAACCCTCAAAGATGGGAAGATGGGTAGCCGCACTCGGCATGTCTAGGGACTGTCATTTCCGACCGTTCAGAGGGTTAGACCCAGATTCGCCTGTCGCGGAGAGGCATCAAGGGAGTTGACCCCGCCGCAACATTTTTGCAGCATACAACCGGGGCGAAAGGGGGCCTCAAATTTTTGTCTATTTTAGTACCATAATTAAAGATGGGAAGAGGGATTAAGATCAATAGGGGAGAAGGGAAAAACATAATATCCCTTAATTTTTTTATTTTTCACAGCATTTAATTCTAGGGGGAATATCTTTGTTATTTTAATTTTCCCGACAATTAAATTAAAAACATAGAAAAAGATTAAAAAAAGTAAAAGAGAAAGGAAACAAAAGGAATCTGGCCATTTATTTAAATTTTCTCGGAATATTGAGGAACTTACAGTTAATTTAATATTTTCGACAATAGAATTAAGGAAAGGGAAGAATGATGAAAAACGATGGAAGGGACGGGAAACCATGACCATTGGAATAGATTGACCTAATTTTGCCTCGATTACCCGCCGTTAGCTCTGACCCCGGATTAAACATCTTCCCCTAATTTTAACGGTGTTCAAATACTGCCGATGGCCGAGGTTCCCTGCGTCCCTTTGGTTCGGTACGGATATGAGGCTTGTTACGGAGCGGCTACGTCCTACGGTGTCTGACGCGCTTCAGGTACGGTAAGGGCTTGGTGACACCTGTTTCACTACGGTGACTTATTTTCAGGTTTGAGACAACTGCGGTGACTTATTCTCAGGACCGGGGCCACTATGACAGTTGTTCCAGGTTTGGGATCTTGGTGACAGTTTGTTTTCAGGTCCGGAGACGTTGCGGCGTCTTATGTCAGGTTCGGGACAGGTACGGGATTATCGAGGCATGGTTGTACGGGTTCGGCGTCCGCGTGGCACAGCAGCCTGGTATTAAATTTCAAGTTTGATCAGGGTCGGTGGCATCGCGTTGTTTCGTTTCAGGATCGACGCCCTCACCGTGATTTATTTCAGGTTTGAAACCTGTGTAGTGATTTATTTTCAGGTCTCCAGTCACTGCAGCGGTATATTTTTCAGATTCAGAATCGGTGCGGCGGTCTATTTTCTGGTCCGGGGCCTCTACGGGGTATCAATCCAGGCCAGGAACCGCTGGGACAATTTATTTCAGGTTCGGTTTGCGACCGGCAACGACATGGGGCGAGCCATGGCAATTATAGGCTCGGTGCAGTCCGAACTGGTTCAGGGCTGGTGTGGAGTGGCAAAGTTGGCCAGGGAACAGGGCGGACTTTTTTGCCATTGGTACTGCAATGGTCTGACGTGATATAGATAACCCATGCGATTGTTTGCAAGGTCACCGAACCGGCTGTGAGTCTTGCGTAGCTTGGTCCCCCTGCTGGGGTCGATTGCTCAGGCCATCTGCGGAATTAATGTTATGCCTGCGGGGTCCCTAGTGGAACCCCTGAAGCATGGGCATTTCGSCGATAATGCGGACCGAATTTATCAACCYGTGCCCCTGTGCTYGTGAACCCGAGCGTGTGGTCTGYGGCARCAAAGGACCAGTGTACCAGGGCCACATCGTAGGGAGATACAGGCGGGGCCGGCAATCCGAAGGCAGGGTGGACTCGACACGCCTGAGGATATAGGAGGAAGACCCGAGAGAGAAGAGGGGGGGGCATGCCAGGCGAACCCAGCGCACCTCAGACTCGAGCTGCAGTGAGCCGGGAGGAGTTCGTCGCAAGGTGGTTACAGGAGAGGCAGGCGGGCAAGGTGCACCTGGCCCACAACCAAGCCAAAGAGAGGACACCGGGAAAGTTGCGCGAAGCACGCCCAATGATCTAGTGCTTCAACCAAGTGAGCGTTTAACAGACGGGAGAGGGGAAAGCTAAGTCAAATTGATTGATGAGTATAACCCAGGATAGCGGGTAAGATCTTCCTGTAGTGCTTGGCATGCATAGCTCCCTGTCGAACCAGCTAACAGGCGGGCATCACTCTGCTGTGGGATTGGGAATGCGT